AAACATTTGCATAAAAAGTTAAATTTGATCCTATTAATAGGGATGAGAGCACTAAGAGATACAGTCTAAAGAAAGAAGAAAAAACAGCTGGAAGAAAGATCCCTGAAGAATGCTTTTTATGTGATGTGCATTAGAAAGACTGATATGACAAGAGGAGAAATTGAAGGAAGGAGAGAGAGGAGGTGGGGCACAGTTTAGCATGGGGGAGCCAGGAGGAAGAAAAGGCAGGTGAAGGTGCAGGAAAGGCTTAAGTGCTATGCAAACTTCATGTGAGTAGGGGTCTTACCTGTCGTGCTTGATGCTGTCTCCCCAAAACCCACAACAGTGCATAGTAGGTTCTTAAAAATACTTGGTTAATGTGGAATGAATGAAGTAGAATAAAATGTAGATGGTGATGAATAGCATGAATGGGACAAGAATAATACATTTATTATTCTGAAATATTGAATATAAATGATAGTAATAGCCTTGATGCTATGAGTAGAAAGGAAAAAATCAACACAAAGATGTGGTTTGTAAGGATAAAATTGTTAGGGTTTTCTTTTTTTGTTTTTACAGAATTAATTGGAATTATATGGAATTAGAGCTTTTGCAATGGGAAAAATGGAGGGTGAGAGATTAGAACTAAGTAGTCTAATCTAGGAAAGAATACACTAATCTGTCCCGTTTGTTCTGGCATTTTCTAAACCTAACACTACGCTTGTCACATACAATATTTACATTACGTATTTGCTCAGTAAGTAAATGGTTCCAGGAGACACTGAGATAATGATGAAGGTTGGAAAACATGCACATAAAAGTTGAATTTGACTTTGTTGAAAGGGATGAGTACTGTAAGAGACAGACTGTAGAAAGAGAAGGAAAAACATTTGAAGACAAATCCTTGGGGAATGTCTTTTTAATATGGGATGCTGGAAAAAGATAAGGCAGTGAAAGATAATTAGAGGAAGATGAAAAATACCGAGATGGTATGATTTTACTTGGCAGCAAAGCGCAGACGGAATTAGAAGAGAACAAACCTAGGAGCAGTGGAAAAAGAGAGAATTTCAAGAAGCAAGTTTTTGACTAATAAATTCAGAGAAGCTAAGAAAAGCAAGATTGGAAAAAGAGATTATTGGGTTTAGTGACTGGAATATCATTATTAACAAATGATAGAGAGACTTTAATAATAAAGTCAAGGTCAAAGTATACTAGGGATTAATGCCAGAAGTTTAATGATGATGGAAGGAGAGAGATTTACTGTACTTTCCATATTTTGAGATCAGGATTCCTTGGTGATGCAGCTTTCACCAGACTTTGTACAAACTGCAAAGGGGCTATCGCCATTCTGCTTAGGAAGCAACCTATGCTGTTTCATTGATGTGAATGACAATTTATAAATACAAAATACATAAGACAAAAATAAATCATGCCCGGTTCTTTCCCCTTTCTACTAAATAACCATGCAAGGTTCTCCAGACTGTAGTGTGTATGATACATTAGCAGCACCAATGAGCAGAATGACCCAAGAGGAAAAGATGTGTGTTGAATGCACCATCAGCATTGTTACTGGCTTATTTCATCTGGGCTTGTAATGAAAAGTAAAATAATCAGCAAGTTACTTACACCCAGGAGATTATCATTTCTGTTATTTGACCTAAAGTGTCTTGTAGAAGGACTTGACTTTGCTAGGTTTCTTAAAGTTGATATTAAATATTTAATTAAAATAGAACTCAGTAGGAGCATCTTTACCTACTCCTTTGCAGTCAGATTTGAGTCACAAGACATTAATGCAACTCTGATATTAATTAGCATAATCATTCAAAAATTTATAATAATGTTTCATAGCTTCATGGTACTAGAGGTGAAACTGCAAGGTTTTCTGCTCCTTCCTTTGCCTCCAGAGATGTGTACTGGTGTTTTGTGTAAATCATTTTAGAAAGTTGTTTTTGGAATAATTCCCAGAGCTTATGGCATTATTTTGGATATTCTCAGTGGTAGTAAGGCTTCCTTCCTCCTTTAAGAGATGGATCTAAGGTAGGAAAATGGCTTTAAATTTTGGAGGCATTATTGGGGAATAGGGTAGAGATGAAAATGAATAATTGCATTTCTAATCAAGAGAGGAGTAATTCCAAACTACTGCAATTAATTTTCTTGTGTAATGTGTCAACAGGCTCATGTATCCATGCTATACTTGCGGGGAGAGGGGATCAGTATTAGAATGCAAAGTCTTGGATATTTTGAGATGAAGTGTTAGAAACATAGCGCTGAATTTTTCATCTTCATATGGTCCCTGAAAGCTGGGTAAGCAAAGTACCTTAGCTCATATTAGCATTCTGATTCCTGGTAGTAAGTCTCAGTGACATCCTCATCATGCTTGGGCACAGAGACAATGATTGGCCAAAGTTAAAGAGAGGGAAATGAGCAATGTTGACCATCGGCTGTGAATTGCATGTATAATAAGGGGACATTAAGAGAGAAATATCCAGAAAAATAGAGGATATACACAAGTAGACAATTGAATATGTGCCATGGCCAAAGTTAAAGAGAGGGAAATGAGCAATGTTGACCATCGGCTGTGAATTGCATGTATAATAAGGGGACATCAAGAGAGAAATATCCAGAAAAATAGAGGATATACACAAGTAGACAATTGAATATGTGCCATGAAGAGATAAAGGATAAGAGGAGAGAGTTGAGGAAGATTGTATTAGTTGGATTTCTGTGGCTTGCAACAGAATACCTGAAACTGGGTAATTGATAAAGAAAATTTATTTCTTATAGTTCTGGAGACTGGGAAGTCCAAGGCCAAAGGAATGCATCCAGTGAGGGCCTTTTTCCCAATGGAAACTCTACAGAGTCCTGAGGCAGCTCAGAGCACTGCATGGCAAGGGAGCAAGAGTCTGTTCACATGCTCTCTTCCTCACCTTGTAAAGCCACCAGTCTACTCCTGTAGGAAGGAATTCATTCATCCATACATGGATTAATTTATTCATGAGGGCATAGCCCTTCAGGATTTAATCACCTCTTAAAGATACCATCTTTCAAATACCATGGTTAGATTTCCTACTCTCTTAATACTGTTACAGTGGAAATTAAGTTTCAACATGAGCTTTACAGGGGACGGACATCAAACCATAAGAAAAACCAAGGATAGTCAGTAGAGAAAGGCCATTGTAAAATTATGTTCATTGGAGAATTAGCTAAATTTCCTGGAAAAAAAGTGCCTTCTGAGTGAGGCAAATTGTAATTTCTCATGAAGTTTTGTATAGCTTGTGCCTGCTATTGGGCCAAAGCCAGTGTTTCCAGATGGCCACAATAACCAGGAGGTCCCTTGACAACTTATTCTAGAGCCTAACACAAATGGAAAATTAAAGGTATAGTTCCTTATTAACATTGTCTGTGTATTCAAGCAGTGGCATCCTTTATCATGCATTCTGCTGATGCTGTTTCTGCTGTTTCTATCACAGAAGCTATCTCTCTTAAGATGAGAAGAGGTCTCAGTAATAAATCCTACTGGATGATATTCCTATAGTATCTGGATAACATGACAATACTTTGCAGAAAAGAAAAGAAAATAGACCCAGAGAGAATTTTATATGTCACATAGAATCATCAATTTCCGAACAAATTTAAGATTCAAAATGTACATGTCAGTACACACATATCCATGTATAAGATAAGAAATTACTGGAGAGATTGCCTAGAAGCGTTTTAACCATTATAGGTCTTTATCACGCATGTGAAGAATGGACATAGTCATCAACTACACTGAAGGTTATTTTCAACTTCTGGACCCAGACAAGAACAGAAAATATGGATATGAATAAAAGACAGTATTCCCATTTTTTGCATTATGTAAAGGTATGAAATAAATTTAAAGAGATACATTTAGTTGCTTTCTGACATATATGAGTCTGCTCTGCAGAAGATTGATGATAAAAAAGAGGAGAGGTCAATTGATATGTTACACAAATATAACCTAGAAATCCTAGAAAACCCCTTATGTTAGAAAGATAGAAGTTAATTAAATATCAGCGAATGTTTTTAAAAAAGGAAATCTTTGATAAATTAGAGCCACTCAAAGAAACAGCCAATCTTGCTTTCCTTTCAATTTATATCATGCAACACTTACTAAAAATTATTTTCTGTTACTTATTATCTGGAATTAGCTATTAGTATCTGCATATATTTTAGCAATGCTTTTATCCATCAAACAAATCTATTTTTTTTTCTACAGAGGAACTAATTTTGTGAAGAAAATAAAATGAAAAGATAGCATTGGTCTTATCCTTCAAATGGGGCTAATGAATTTAAAAGGATGCTTGATAATATGTTTCAAGTTATTAGATTGTGGTACTGGATGTCTGACTTCTATTCCTTGGGCCAAAACCCCTGAGACTGAAAAATATCAGCTATGAATTTGTTCAAAGCCACCTGGATTAGTGGCCTTCAGCACTGTGCCATGGAAACATTGCAGGGGATCAGTATTAGCAAAGTAACCCATACATCTCAGAGAGATAGCAGATTTATGTCCCCCAAAATTATTAATTATATTGTGGAGAACTGACTTGAAGGGACAGGTCAGAAAAGCAGTATTACCCATTAGTTAAAAGCATGGATTCTGAATATGGATGCCTACATTCGAATGCAGCAACTATCACTTACCATTCATTTGACTTGAATAAGTCACATAATATCTCTATGTGCAAATTTTCTTATCAGTAATTTGGGAATAATAATAGTTCCTATCTCAAAGATTATCATGAGAGATAAATGAGTTAGTGTATTACAGACCATGTCAGGAACATGGCAAACAATTATCAGTAATTTGGGAATAATAATAGTTCCTATCTCAAGGATTATCATGAGAGATAAATGAGTTAGTGTATTACAGACCATGTCAGGAACATGGCAAACAAAATGTAAGTATATGCTGTATTGAACTAGGATGATTGGAATGGAGAGAAAAATAAGTAGATGACATTTGAGTATATTCAGGTATCATAAAGGGCATGACTTAGTGATGGACTGACTTTAGGGGTGGGGGTGGGAAAGAGTAGTATCATATGCCATTCACTGAAATAGAAATATTGGAAGAGGATAAGGGATTGTGGGAGTGATAGAACTTTCATATACAGTATTATTATTTTCTTAGTAATGATGGTCCTTAGCCAAAATATTCTGGTAATATTCTTTGTTTCCTGTGTTGTGTAACATATGAGGTGTTAGGTTCATGGGAAGGATTCAAATGAGGGCTTCTAAACTTCATTTAATTGCTACTTGAGTGACATAAGGTAAGAGATGTCTCTTTCAGGTGACATGTCTCTGTGTATGATGCGAGTCTGGCATCTATCTTCTCTTCAAGAGGTTTTGGTCAGCATTAAAACTCTTCGGAAGCACACCAACCTTTTAATATAAAAGCATCATAAATACAATAAAGCCTTTTAAAGGAATCAGATGTTTATAGGGAATGAGCTGTTATGAATGTGTATAAATCCCAGATGACAGTTTGTTCTTACAGCTAATGATTTTTACTTGCACATTTTTAATATCTGTTCTAAAATGTGTTTATACTTATGAAACTTGTTAAACAATAATGTATGTATTTTCTTGTAGCCATAATTATTACTTTATTATGCTTTATAATTTTTTGAATTCCTCAGTGTGCTAGGTAAACAAGTGCTCATAAATCTTGATGGATCACTGATATACTCTTTCAGTCTGTTGTTTTGTATTTTATGGAAAAGGATGTTAAGTTTCAAGCAAATCCATATGATTGTATGACAATTGCAATGATCTGTCCTTTCTATTTCCCCTGTTCTTCTAGTCTGCTCCCAGTTTTCAAGAGGCGTCTATGCTATTTTTGGCTTTTATGACAAGAAGTCTGTAAATACCATCACATCATTCTGTGGCACGCTCCATGTGTCCTTCATCACTCCCAGCTTCCCAACAGATGGAACACATCCATTTGTCATTCAGATGAGACCTGACCTCAAAGGAGCACTCCTTAGCTTGATTGAGTACTATCAATGGGACAAGTTTGCATATCTCTATGACAGTGACAGAGGTAAGTGACAGTATCTCTGTCTCTTTGTAATGGGGCAAATTCAGCACCTACACTTGACACTTATGTTTGATGTCACAGAATTATGAAGGTGTATTAAATCCCAGGGATCACTATGAAGGTGTATTAAAGCCCAAGTAATTAATTCGCTATGTAAATGAATAATGCAACTTGAAGCCTGAGAAACATATTTAAAACAAAACAACAACAAAAAGCTATGAGTGTATAATTTACAGAGATGGACTCTGTCAACCCGATGTCCAAATGTTGTAAGGTAAAAAGCAATTTCTGGTATCAGTAGCTAAGACCCTATGATGACTACATTATTAGTCCAAGGTGAATGAAATGGCTTAAGTAAAATTGAACTACTCGTATAAATAAGAACTTTTATTGTAATTTATGGTTATTAAATATCATTACATACAAAAGTTTTATCAGGCAGGTAGCATTATTACTCATGCTTTAAAATAAGATTCCTGAATACCAGAGAGGTTGAAGGATTTGCTCATGATCAGTCGATGTGTGATACAGCTGGAACACAGGTCTCTGATACCAGACATATCAGAGTAAAGCTCTGATGGTGGGATGTTTTGATTAGCATGCCAGGCTTGCCTCATTATACTAAAGATTCTGGAGGGAGGTAGTTCCTTTACATTTCCCATATCACTTGCTATGAAGTTTTGTTTAGCAGACCTGCGTGACTTACACGTCATAGAATCTCAGACATTCTTAACTATTCTTGCATCCCTAATTGGGCGTCAGTGAGTCTGTGTCCCTCCTAAGTCGTATGAAACATTTTGTGTGTACGTTCGTTATGTATGTTTTTCTGGAGAGACTATCCCTAATCAAAGTGACAAGGATTAAGAGCCACTACTGTCAGAACCCCTAAGCATCACACTGTGTGCTTACTTCAGCAGCTTGTTTCCTGGAATATTTAAAGGTTCAGACAAAAACCAGAAGCCTGTTTCGACCAAGATAGGGCACCTTGTGACCCCACAAGGGCAGACAAGATGCATGCCAGCCGTCAGTCAATTCTTCATTGATCCGTTTGTAGTCATTTGCTGCAGCGATCCTGAGTCAGGATGCTCAGGCTAGGTGTCCCATTCTCTGCCCTGTCCTCCTAGTCCTGGGAATGAGAAATCTCAGTGGAAAAGCCAGTCAGCACTATACAAGCTGAAAAAAACTTGCTATGTCAACAACTCCCCCTTTCCCCCACCTGCTTTGCAAAGGGAGAACCTTGCTAGTCCCATAAGGAATAAAAACCCCAAACAGATAACCATTTAAAGTAAATATAGATTTCATCGTGCTGGATGATTCCGAAACATCCTTTTTATTAATGTGATAAAAGGGCTTATACAACTGGGCTTATCAAATTATTTTTAGTCTTTCCTCTTGCTTTTTGCTAACTCCTGTAGTATTTTGTTTTGTTAAAACTAGCCTGAAATCTGGGCAAATTCTTAATAGCTCTTTCACCCTTGCTGCCTATTGTTGTGATTTGTACCATCAAAGTATATTGTACCTCTAGAAACTCTGCTCTTTCATTGTCATCATTTCAGGCCAATCCACCATCACAGGTTCAGTCCCTCATCTCTCCAATTACACACTTGTCTCTCTTTAATGCATTTTCCAGAAAATAGCCAGAAGTATTTTAAATTTTTTTGACCACATTACTCTCTTGCTTAAAACACTTCAATGCATCTCACTATAATGAAAATAAAATTAAAATTCTTAGCATAGCTTTAATGTCTTAAAATACCCAGTTCCCACCCAACTTTCCAATGTATTTTCTGTCTTGCTCACTCACTAAAGTAAATCCATTTGACCATCCTCAGTTTCTCAGATGCACCAGACTCATTCACCCCAAAATGTCTGCACATGGCTTAATTCTTTTTCTTTCTTTCTTTCTTTCTTTCTTTCTTTCTTTCTTTCTTTCTTTCTTTCTTTCTTTCTTTCTTTCTTTCTTTCTTTCTCTCTCTCTCTCTCTCTCTTTCTCTCTCTTTTCTGGCAGCTAGCTAGCTGGTACAGGGATTGAACCCTACACCTTGGTGTTATCAGTAGCATTTTCTAACCAACTCAGCTAACCAGCCAGCCCCAGTATATATCTTTTCTTCAGAGATTCTTTTCATGCTGTTGTTGTCTCTCAAAGCAATCTCTTCTTTTCCTTTGTAGGACTTATCACAATTTGTAACTAAAAGTGGTGTTCATTGTGTCACTCAAGAACTACTTATAGAGCTCCTGTTGTGCTCCAGGAACTATTTTATTCACATGGGCTAAGCATTATGTTTGATATTTACGGTCTAGCTATAAGCTCCAAGAAGGTAATGTCCAGGCACTGCACAGCACACTGCATGTATGGTTCATAGCTGCTTACCCAGTGCCACAGATAATGCTTGAAACAGAGTTGATGTTCATTGAATAGTGTTAATAAATGAGTTAGACATAAGTGTATTTTAAGCTTGAGAGCATATTAGAGGCTAAATCTTGCTTGCCAAACTGAAGAATCAGCAGATGAATTCTCTTTACTGTTTGCAAAGGTTGAAGGTGGCATTTTTAGTTTAGGAACATACTTCACTCTCATCTCCCCCCTCACTATTACTCAATCTAGTTAAAACTGCACTTTTAAGAAAATTCAGATAGACAACAGCTGACATAAACAGAAAAAGAAAAACTAATTTTGAAGAGAGATACTGAGAGAGATAGGCTTTGGGGAATTGGGTGAAGATGGATGGACTTATATACTTGTGAAAAGAATCTGTGACACGCTAAAATGATTTTGTTAATACTTTAGAAATATTAAATGAAATTGAAGTGATGAGATAATCTCCAATTATTAAATTATACAAATTGATTTGAGTTCAAGTGCATCTGTTGAGAGAACATTAGAGTGATAATATTAAGTAATTATGTATTAAAGCCAAAATGACCTTATGGATATATTTTCAAGGTGTTATCAAGTAGCTGTTGATGTTTTAATGTGAAGAGTATTACACTGGCTTTTCATCTGAAGCTATTTTCAGATACTCAAAATATTAGCAAAAGACTTGACCTTTGTGTAATGTTTTATTGACTCATGGAAATGGGATTTTTACTATCTGGCTTTTTCTAATTAATGACAATTTTTTATGGCTTTGTCATTATATTACATTTAAGATAGTTTATTCATGCATTCCTCAAGTAACTGGTTTCTTTCCTTTGGACCTTAACCCAGTTCTCTTACACTTGTACGAGGGGCCTTTATACTTTAGAGTAACATGATTTGGAGAATGCACTTATGTTCCCTTTATTGATATTAACTGTTTTCAAAAATAGATTCCATGGTTTCGTCTCTCAACTTATCTCTCTACATGCCTCAGTTTCAAAATATTTGATCTATTCTTGATATGGCACTTTCTCCACCCCCTTGATTACATGGTTTTGTTCTGGTTCTAATAATCTTTACTTTTCTGAGAGTCTGGGTAGGGTAAACATAGTGTTAAATTTTAATGCCTAAATATATAAATTAATATTCTTTTGAACAGCATAGGGCCCAAGCATGAAAATGATTCCCCAGCATCCTTCCCTGATTATGAACTAGATGAAAAGGACTTAAATTGTTCTGTGTTGCTTCATTGCACTACCCTTAACTGAGACTGCAATGAAATCCTTCCTGCTTCTGGAACTTCCTTCTGAATGCTGAGCAGCAAGTCAAGAGACTAGATCTCAGTTATAAACAAGGGAGGGCATGGATGCATCCTTATCTGTGTACAGAAACATCCTTGACTAATCTAAGTTAGTCAAGGAGGTGGGAGGAGTGCTGAAATGGCTCATCTGGTGTCAGGTGAACTTTTAGGATTGCTGGTGACTTCTCTTTTCCTAGGCTATGTTGCAGCAGCCTGGAACTCCTTGATAACCCAATGCCTTTCCTAAAAGCTGCATATCACTACTCCACAGAGTAGGGAGATAGACCTTCAATGTATTTTTTTCTATAGAGTAATGAAGTTACCTATTTAATGCATTAAATATTATAGTTTTGTCTTTGGATATATGTGTAGTAAATTTGAATCAAAACAGTCAAAAATGTGGTTTTTATGTATTGGCTCAGTGTCAACAAGGAAAGGTAATACATTTCTATAGGCAATAGGTAAAAAGACTGAGGCTGTACATCTATATGTCTTAGTTTTAATTTCGAGCGACATTATTTGTCACTTGAAGGGGAGGCACTTTGATTCCAGTTCCAAGAAAACACCATGCATAGAACAAAAATGCTTCCAAATGGTAAATTTCTTTTCTGATGTTCCTGAGAAAGCTGGTGAGGGAAATATGTGTTAATCTAATCTGGCCTAGGCATGCTGCCATGATTTAATAATCATAAATATTAATTTCTATGCCTGAAAGAACAGGGACAGTGGATTTTAAATGGAACAAAGAAAATATTTTTAAGAAAGACATGATCTGAATGAAATATACCTTTTGGCAGTAATCATTTTTAATTTCACCTCTTATGTGCAAAGGAAGACACAGACTTCACCTGTTTTTAGGCCAATGGCTTTTCTGTAACCATGTCACAGTTTTAACACTAGGTCAAAATAAGACTGTCCCCTACTGCTAGCAATATTTTGATAGTTTTAGGGAGATTGTCAGCTAACAAATAGTATATACAGCCATAGCCAGTTGGTAACAACAAGCACATGAAGATCTGCCAATTTAATGATATTTTAGTCTTGCAGTTCATTATTTTAGCCAAACGTCTGAGAATTCAGTAGAGTTTAGAACTTACTTTTAGGCTCTTGTGCTATATTTGAGGTTTTTGAGAACATACCATATTTTAAATATATTTATTTATTAGGAGGAATAGTTAATTTTCCAGATTTAAATTTTTTTTAAATGAACAGCTGTGTAACTCAGCAGTTTTCTTTGTTAAAAGTAATTCTGTAACAAGAAATCAGTCTCTGCAATAGAAATCTAAATATTCTGATATAGTGGTATGGATATTAGAGTGGAATAATTACTTACTAGTAATTTAAATAAATCAGTGTTTATAGAAAACTCCCATTGTCCATACAAATTCATATTTTGAATTAGGGAATGAATGTATTTATAAGAAAACTTCTGTGCTACTTTGCGTGGAAGGGAAAGAGGCATATCTCAAGTGATACTTTCTCCACTAATTAGAATATGGTACTGAGAGACCAAGAGCATGGAATTTTCTTTTGTTCGAAGAGTTTAATTTTATCTTCATAGTTGTAACATACATGTTTAGTGATTTTTATAGTTAAAAATGATCTATTAATTATAAAGCAATCAGACTTGATACAAAACGGTTAGTTATGAAGAATGAGATAAGTTGAGAGAGTATTTGAGAGGTCCAGTTATTATCACAGAGAAAATCAAAAACTAACCAAATGGGTTACTAAGAATAAGATAACAGTCTCTTCAAATTGTGAGTCAGACAGTGCTATCGTTTGTCAATTACTTCTGGCTGTCCTTAGGAGGTGATTTAAACTAAACTAAATTCATCAAGTCTGATGTAGCATTACTTGAGCAGTTTATCTTCTTAATAAATAAATGTAATTTTTGTTATGTTCTGCACATCACAAAATATTAATCCTGAGAGTTTTAATAACAGAGAATCTATACCAACTCTATGTCACTTTTGACATATAGGATGAAAGTCAAATGAATTTATTTAAATGCATTTTTATTGATTTTATACATCATCTTCATATTCTTTGACAAGGTGAACTGCTGATAAATTTTAGGTTTAGAATTATCACTTAATGGAGTCCATTTACAAATTGTTATTTATATTTAAAATTTCTTGTAATACTCGTATATGTTGAAATATGGGACAGAGTATCAAAAGCATCACCATTTACATTTTTAGTAGGTCATAAAGTTCATAATTTAATAAAAACAAAATAAAATACGGTATAAAATAGAGGAAGCTCACTGGTAATTGCTATATGCTAATATGTAGATAACATATAGAGTATCATCCATGAATATAATATTTTTAAGAAGGTGAAAAGGGAGAGTTGTACAGTAATTAGATTGTGCAAAAGTAAGACCTAGAGCATGGAAGAGGTTTAAAAATTTAGATATATTTTCTCCTACTTGGAGAAAAAACTAGATAGACTTAATAGCTGTTTTCATTTACAATGATGGCTGTTGAATTGATCACGATGACCAGCTGTGTGTGTTGTATCTCTACTGATGAAAAAACAGGAAAGGGACTTGAATTGTAGCATGGAAGGATTTAATTTACCTCTAGTGAATGGAAATCACAGACGATCTGTGATGTGTTGTAAAGTTTTATCACTGAAAGTTTTTAAAATGGCATTTGGTCTCCTTACGTTGTCCCTTGAGAAATTCATGTTTATCTATATCTTTTGTTACAAGACTGAATGCAGAAAACTAATTTTGTTGTTTTGCCCTCTCCCCCCAAAATCACTTTAAGTTCAGTGTATGGTTCAATTTTCCATTTTGAAATAAAAGTAAATTATTTTTAATGTTTATTTTTATTTTTTTATATTTTATTTTATTTTAATCCTCAGTATACATTGCAGTTGATTTTCATGTCCCTTTACCCGTTCCTCTTCCCCCTCCTTTTCTCCCCTCCCCCCATCATATCTGTTCACTTGTCTTAACAAGTACAAGGAATTGTGATTGTTGTGTCTTCTTCCCACACCCACCCTTTGTTTGTATGTTTATCTATCGATCGATCGATCGATTTATTTATTTATCTATCTATTTATTTTTAGCTTCCACAAATAAGTGAGAACATGTGGTATTTCTCTTTCTGCGCCTGACTTGTTTCACTTAATATAATTTTCTCTAAGTCCATCCTGTTGTTGCAAATGGTAGTATTTCATTCTTTTTTATAGCAGAGTAGAATACCAGTTTCCTCATTCAATCATCTGATGATGGACATTACTATGAAATATCTTAAATAAAAAAATAGACAAAATAATATGAAGACTCATGAGCACTCTAACCCAGCTTTACTAATGACTAAATATGGGCAATTTTGTTTTATCTATATCCTTCTGCTCTCTGCAATTATTTAGAAACAAATACCAGACATTATGTCATTTCATCTGTAAATATTTCAGTGTTTATTTCGAAAAATATAATTTTCTTATTTTAAATATAACCACAATATCATTAGCATACCTAGACAATTAACAATAATTTATTAATATCATCTTTTTTACTGTTTATTTGAAGCAGGTTAAAAATGAATTCCATATAAAAAAAAATGAATTCCATATATCACAATTGGTTTATATGTCTTTTAGGATTTTTACAATGCAATGTAGACTTTTCCACAGTCCAGATTCTGATGATTGTAACACTGTGGTGTTTAACATATTACTCTCTGCCATATATTCCTATAAATTGGTAGTTAGATTTAGAAGCTTGATGAGATTCAAGTTTACATTTTTGGCATGAATACTTCATAGTTGTTGAATAGTATCATTTGGATACATAATCTCTGTTGTTTCTCTTTTTGTGTTGTGACCAGAAGTTAATGTTTATTGCCTTAATGCATTAATTCAGGAGGTGTTAGAAAATGGTGACAATTTTAAAACTGTATTTATTCATCATGTATTAGCTGGAGTATTTCCAAAAAGAAAAACCTGCATTAATTTGCTATTACCCTGACTATAGCTCATATAGGAAAGGCGGGAAAATGCTTATACTTATTTTCTTTCCTTTATTTACCAGTTTTCAGAATAATTAATTAGTTCCCTAATATCCATCAAAGGAACAAATATTTTTTAAATATTGTAATTTCACAGATTTAAAATATTTTATGTACTTAAGTCTTTTATAATTATTATTCTAATTGATATTCAAATTTTCCTATCTTTATTTAAAGAGATCCTCTTCAAATTGGCTCCTGTGTCCCTTGACACAATACTGATGGTTTTGACGAGCTTCCTTGTTTTCTGGTATCACAAGTTGTTCTAGGCTCATCTTGCACATTTTTGGGCCAATATTGAATCCATAAAATTTTTAAAGATTTTTTTCCTAGGTTGAAATATTGTTCAACAAAATTTATAATTGATTATTTTTGTCATGATAAATAGATTTAAATAAAATTTGATATGTGAATTTAGGTTATAGAGATAATCTATTAGGTGAATCCTTCCTTTTATGGATAAAAATTAATCAATATTCTTCTGAGAATGATGCAGCCTTTTTAGAATCAGAAAGATGATATAAGTTCTGAATTCTTTCTACAGACTTCATTTCATATTGTTCATTATATTATTAATATCAGTAATGACATTGGTTTGACTGTGAATAGTTGAAATAATGTGGAAGACAAGTTTATGTGCTGTTTTTCTAAGTACTAAACTGAAATTTTAACTTTCAGGAAATAAACACCCTAGTTATTGTCCCTCTCAGTCCTAAATATGAGGTAATATAAGGACAATTAAAAATAATAATAATTTTTTTCCAAGTCATATGATACTATGAGCAAAGTTATTAACAAGTAGTAAAATAATCTTATATTTAGGAAATAAAATAAATCTGTACTAGAGAACTAACTGACATCATCTGGTTAATAGTTGAACACTTTAATCTCTATGGGATCAGTCCCAATATCAAAAAATGAAATAACAGAGGGCTGCAGGAAAAAAAAAAAAAAAAAAAAAAGAAAGAAACTAGAAAACAATAGGAGAAAATTTAGCAGCCTTATAGAGATTATTGGCTCTTAGGCTCAGATTCAGGGATGCTATTTTCCCTCAATAACTCCTTTAGTCCGAACAGTAGCATTTAAGTAATGAGGTTCTGATATGAGGCAGACGTAAGTAGATGTTGATAAAGCTTGTAGCTGTAGCTTTTCCTTAGGAGTCAACATCTCCTTAGTTGAACACATGTATCACCCTTAAAAATATATTCACTGGCAATTTCACAACACAGTTATTCAAGTATGTTTATCAGTCATCATTTTTTCCTTGCCTTCCTAGGCTTATCAACGCTGCAAGCTGTGCTGGATTCTGCTGCTGAAAAGAAATGGCAAGTGACTGCTATCAATGTGGGAAACATTAACAATGACAAGAAAGATGAGACCTACCGCTCACTTTTTCAAGATCTGGAGTTAAAAAAGGAACGACGTGTGATTCTGGACTGTGAACGGGATAAAGTAAACGACATTGTAGACCAGGTTTGCTACTCTCTGTTTTCTAATGGCACCAAATATAGAATATGCATGCAGTGTCAGCATTTGCACGGAGTGTTTGTGTAAGGTGCTTGAACAGCAGTTTTTACTTAATAGTATGTGTAGGATACAGCAACGATCGTTGATTAAATTATCTCTGGCTTCAGTGAGCAATAACAGACGGCTGTCAGTAATGTTGACATATCATATTAATCATTAAATAATTCAATATATAATTCTTGACTTTTATGCTTTATATGGTAAGTGTTGACATAAACTTTGATATTTGGAATCGGCAAGTTTAAACTTATTTCTGTTGAACTTCTTATAGATAAAGAAATAGACAGTAAGTCAAAATAAGTCTGGAATCTAAGGGAAAAGTGAGTAATGCATGAATTTTTTGGAAATGCATAGATTATTTCAAATGTTGGAATACAGTATGCTCCACTAAGCCTATATTACTGTCTAAATGAATCTATGTCTCTAGAAAGAGCATGTATTTATTTTTGTAAGAGGTAGTACTTTTCCTTTTATTAGGGGATTCGTGTCATTATAAAAAACATTCATCTGTGAAATTAAAATATATGGGAAAGATACATTCAGGCTGTGTTGCCTATTTGAAAATTAAACTAGAAGTATCCATTTGGACTGTATGAAAGAGTAACACGATACCAGAGATAAAAATGTTTCTATCTGTGCTTACCATACTACCTTGCTTCAGTGTAAGTTCTTTCAGGATAGGGCAGTGATAAAAATAAAACCGCCCACGTTTTTCAGATAGGGTAAGTCACCAGAGATGGTGGTGACACAGTATCATGATTTACTGAGTAAGGTGTCTTTTACTGGTATTGGTATCTTTTTCTAGCTAATAAATGTGTGTGTGTGTATATATAAGTATAGGTTTATACTGTATGTGTGTGTGTGTGTGTGTGCCCATAATGGTGACTGCCAGTTCCTTGGAATAATATAGGACTGTAAGGAAAATACCCAGTTGGTTATGCATTTCTTGGCCCTTCTTGGCTTTAAGGAAAAAAATTAGATTTATTAATTTTACAACACCTAACATTCTGCAGACGTAAATGTTGATGAAGCCCTAATTGATATAAAATAATACAGGCCCTAAGACATACAAAATGGACCTCTCATGAAATATTGAATAATCGAATAAAACTAACTTGTTATGAGAAAGAACTAATGTATGCCAGAGAAGTGAATAATTTAAGTAGAAATATCTTGATTCCAATCTCAAGAGATGAAGTTAGGATTGTTTTTCACCTGAACGCCTTTCGTTCAAATGTGAACCTCAAAAACTCATTTGAATTTCATAGGAAGTTCTCATTAAAACTGAATTATAATAATATTCATTACTCTTTGTTTTAAAAAATTTGTCTTCCTCACTCATCATAATAAATGTTGATGAAAGCTTACATAAAAATAACTGTTTCCAAAACTAGAAAAGGGAAATTATAGAATAAATTGGGAATCTTTGGAAAGTAATGTTTTGAAGCAAATCTCTGATCATGGTTACATAAATATCTATATGGACATCCATTCAAAATGCAGAGTATTTTGCACATATATAAAAGACTCTTTAATGTATTCAGTGAGTGAATACAACAAATGGTGTATTATTCAACAACATTATTGTGGACACCCTCTGTGTCTGGAATAAGGGATGCAAAGAAAAGTAAGAAGGAATGGTGTACGCACCCCATGAGCTCACTGTTCATAGGGGAAGAAAAGATGTACAACATACAACACTACATTATTACCAGTTGTAATGCAATGTGATCTAGGAGCATGGAAGAGGAAATACCTATCTCAACAGTGAAGGAATGATCGGTGAAGGGTTCATATAGGAGGTGGCATTTGGCTGGCTTAGATTCATTCATTTATTTGTTCAATAAATATTCCCGGAATGCCTAACATTTGTCAGACAGGCACTGCAGTAGATCCAAATAAGCAACGATGAACACAGACAAGGCCACATCAAGGTGACTAATAATGATATACTTACAGAAATTAATACATAATTATAAAAATGGAATATACTATAAGTGAAAAGAATGGAATGCTATAAGAACTATAGAAACAGTTTAGATTGGCATATTATTCACGGAATAGAGTTTATCACTCAAAGATTAGGAATAAAGTATATTTCAAGAAAAAGAAACACTATTTAGTTTTTCATTCTACAAATATTTGTTTTTAACAAATATTTTCTCATTTTTACAAGAGAACAGAGATAAGAAGAAACTATTTTCACAGTAGCTTGATGCTGCCAATAGAATTAAATTGTGTTAGACTATGGGTATTTTATTACGCTTGTTAAAACCTTGGAGGTACTTATTTCTAGCTGGAATTAGGTAGGAAAAGGATTCAGCCATCAAAAACATTTATGAATTAACAAATTTTCCATTGTTAGTGCATTAGTAATTGTTATTATTAATCAAAGATATGTTGGTTAGTATGGCCAACACTAATTTTTATATAGACATGAAGCTAGTGAATTTTCATATCCCTCCTCTCTCAATGAACACCAAACTCAAATAGGGACTACTGGTGTCACCATTTATACTATGTTTTTCTTAATTCTCAGAAGGAAAACATGGATGATTCAGAAACTGGAATGTGCTGTAAGCAGAGCCAACAGATGTCAGTAGAAAAAATGAGGGACATAATCAACTCGATTCAGCTGATGCTAATTCATATATTTTTTATTCACAAGGATGTCTTTTTTTTTTTTTTTTCAGAATTCTCCCTTCAACACAGAGGGTTCAGTTTCTTGGAAAAGGCAATTTAGTTGTGTTACATAAAAATAGGTTAGAAGAAAATCCAAGCCTAACTTCCTTACAAATAGCTACCATTTAATATCAAAGTGGCATATGGTAGAATCCTTCCTAGGATTTTGTCCTTGCTCTTTAACTAAGTACATTGCTTTGGAGCACCTGACTTTGGGAGGAGAGAAGATCAGGGAAGTCTTCTTCCAGGAGGTAACCATTGGGCTGAGACTCATTGTGCTTTAAGTTAGTAAGACAAAGGATATGGTGGCAGAGACAGCTTTCTAAGAAAAGGAAATAGAATATGTAAAGCCCTGAGGTAATGAGAGGAAGCGTTTTTGTGCTCAAAAAACTAAAAGAGGGCCAATGTGACTTGAGTATAGTGAATGGAAAGCAGCCTAGAGAAGATTTCAAGAGCACTGGACTTTGCAGCATATTTAGGATTTTGCTTATTATGCTCAAAGCAATAGGGAGCCACTAAAACAGTTTAACCAGGGAAGTGAGCTAATGATTTAATTTTTTGTGTACAGCCTTGGCATTTCATGTATTCCATCGATGTGATTATTTTCTGAAAAAGAGAAATTATATTCTGGTACGTTATATCCATGTACCAGGACCATGGCATGGCCATTTCACCTATTTCTACTATCTTAGTAATTGATATAGATTAGTAAAATGTCAAATTGATTTAATAATGTCCAAAACTATTGTGAGCATTACCAGGACAACCACTAGTTCCATGAAATATTTATCTCGCAATTGATTTTTGACTTAGATTTGTGGAGAAAAATTAGCTTCTTTGAAACTTTGCTGTGTAGAGCTGGCAATAATGTGCATTGAACTAAGCTATAAGCATTTCAAGATTCTTAGAATAAAAATGTTATTTTATATTTCAATGTAAGAATTCTTTTATATGCTTATTTATAGTCTTTTTAAATGTATGTAGTACTATAAATCTATATGTGTTTATCTTTGAATATAGATGTGTGAATGTAAAATCTCAGATGTTAAACAGTTTCAGGTGTTTAATGTTTTATTAAATAGACAAAAACATAGCTTTTGCAGGAAAAAACATATTTTGGTTTTTTGTTTCTTAAAATTCTGTGCTCTTATTTTCATTATTAACAAAAATGAAATAATTATTTTGTTCAGTTATTGACTTCTTGAAAGATAATATTTATTCACTAAATGAGTTATTACTTTTTTTTTTTTTCCTTTTTGTCTTTTTTCATGTCCGGCAACGGGATCGCAACCCTCGGTGTTGCGCCCGCACCTCGCTCAGCCAGTGAGCGGCCGGTCTGTATGTGGGATCCGAACCCTTGGCGGGAGCGCCGCCGCACTCCCAAGTTGCACACTGTAGCAGTGCGCCACCGGGCCGGCCCGAGTTATTACTTTTTTCTGAGAGAAATATTCTCTGTATTTGATAATTATATTTTATAAAAAAAGACTCATTGTAGATAAAATTTCATTTTTTCTGAATCAGATCATATTACCAGTAATTTTACACTTACATTATTTGCATTTATGAAATATTTTTTCTTTATCTTTGTTAGGTTATTACTATTGGAAAACATGTTAAAGGGTACCACTACATCATTGCAAATCTGGTAAGTAAACTAACTGGCATTTATTATTTTATTAGATATGCGTATTATTTAAAAAACATAATTTTGAATGGCCAGATTTTATCAGTGGTGTTTTATATTTTTAATATAGTTTGATTATATTTGATTGATCAGAAGTGAGAACAATTTTCTGAATTTGTTACGTTTTAGATTTACTCCCACTTTACATTTTCTAATCAATTTCCTATTATTATAAATGATGTATAAATTTGTAGAACAATATTTGACAAGCCTTATAAGTTGTCTTAGAAAGTGTATTTTAACAAAAAGAAACATTTCAAAAATATGTAAAGTTTAATTATCCAAATTTCTTCTTGTTTCTCACTGTCATTGTGTTTTATAAACTTTACCCTTCACACATTCCTTTAAAGTTTTTAACTATATGACATTTGAAATAAATGCACATTAGTAAGAGTATATCTTAGTGCAAAATTAAACCTGGGAATATCTAGAATATTGATATATTATATATGACTTATTTTTGATTTCTTACTTACCTATAAGAGTAGAAGTAACAAAATAAAAATTAAATTCCTATAGCCTTTCATTTGTTCATTGGGATTCCTGTCAAATGAAGATTATACTGAAACAATAGAGTGGTTAGTTATATTTTTCTCTCTTAAGTATAGTCAGAGTCAATTTAGAATTATCATTAGAAATTTTTGTTTTCAAATAGTTTTTAAATTAGCAGTAAAATAAGCTTAGGCCTTTACTGTAACAACGGTTATGTTTTTTAAGTAAATATAATCCTGTGGGATTGAGGGACCCCTCCTCCCCAACTCCATGCACAACTTCAGAGAAAAAAAGTGAGAAAAAGGGGGAGACAAGCAGAGAACAAGAGCTTATTCTGGACAGGGTAATAGCACTCTGAAAACATTTCTTGTTTACACAAATGTAGATTTATGTGATGGTTTCTGTAGTACCAGGTTGTTACATCTCAAGATACTATTTCTAGTAGTGACAGAAGAGATAAAAACAAAACAAAACAAAACTTAACAACCTTACAACTGACATTGTTTTTACTGGAAGGTGATATCAGTGACTTAGAATATTAAATCTCAAGCCTCCGTGCAATCGGGAGTTGATTGTTCAAGATGAAATTTCTGTTTGGCAATGAAATGGCTAGCTACTATCAACATTCTCTAGGACTTTTTTTTTAGAGTGTATTAAGCAGATCCTAAAGGACTCCTTATGGAGAAGCAAGAGTTAATCTAGATGAAGCTCTGTAGTCCGTCTGAATCAGAACTTCATTTGCGCAGGGAACAGCCTGGACAGTCAGTCCCCTGTGTGAATTGTGCCATTTGACGAACAGCACAGAGCCACATTGAAAGCTGTGATCTTTAAAAATGTCCAGATGGAGAAGATTATATTGGAACATTGAGAAATAACGACAGTTGGTGGCTCATCAATTTGAGAGCTGATATCTGCTTCTGTGAAAAGGGAAAGAAGTGTTCGAATGGCCAAAGTAAAAAACAAAAGAGAGAAAAAGCAATACTTGATGCTGTCATGCTTCTAGGGAGAAATCTACCTACTATTTTATCTGAATTCAAGTTCTGTTTTTCCTTTTCTGAATACTAGATTTTCTCACCATATGGAACTTTTAGTGAATTGACAAGTTCAAAAGTCTGCATAGTGCCACAGTTTCTGGGAAGTTAGAGGACACTTGGAACTTTCACTGACCTTTAAAATTGAAGAAAGCCATCCGAAGCAGAAGGGCTTTCATCTTTCAAACTCTTGATTGAGAATGTCTCTTTTCCCCTGCGGCAGGTCTAATGAATGTTAGAGTACATGGCTATAAAAGATAAAAAAAAAAATCCTCAGGTATTATTACTGGTTAATTTCTCCAGGAGCTGCTGACTGCTTGGTTAGGCTCCTAAAACACAAGCTGTGATTAAGTTCTTGATACAGCATACAAAAGGGTAATGTGTATGTAAAGTGATGAAGAAGTGGTCATAAGGGGACCCAGTCATTCTTCAACCCTGCTACTTCCAAAGATTTAACTCTCTATAAAGTAATGGTTTTACAGTGCTAATGACTTTACAGGTTTACATGCTACAGTTTTAGATTTTTACAGGTTATTAATGGAGACTTACCTAGTGTTCTAAATCTCTGCAAGTAAATTTCTAGGAACAGCAGTGTCACTTTTAATTTGATGAGTTGTTGCCATCTGTACTGTTAACCCTTGACCTCTACTGTGATTCATTCTCTTTTTTGTCCTTCTCTTCTGCTTCTCATAAGTTAAACAGTTTCAGAGAAGAAAAAAAAAAAGAAAGAAAAGAAAACTTAGAGAAATAAAGATCCTCACTGAGGCCAGCTTAAACCCTTACTCAGGGTTNGTTGTTGCCATCTGTACTGTTAACCCTTGACCTCTACTGTGATTCATTCTCTTTTTTGTCCTCTTCTGCTTCTCATAAGTTAAACAGTTTCAGAGAAGAACAAAAAAAAAAAAGAAAGAAAACTTAGAGAAATAAAGATCCTCACTGAGGCCAGCTTAAACCCTTACTCAGGGTTTCAGATGAAAGTGTCATTTGTAGTAAAACCAAAGTAAATGACAGTAAAAGAATAAAAATTTTATAAAACTTAAAGAAAAAGGAAATAGGAAAAAAATCAACAGATGCAAAAAGTCAACAATATTTTTTTAGGACGCAAAGCAGATACAGGATGAATACATGGCATAGCAAATAGAAGAAAGATAAAACGAAAAGTGCCTTCAGCGTGGGATACAGACAGGGAGCAAAGCTGTTCATTCCGCAGAACCCCTGTGAGATTCACTCTTAGCAGAACCAGAAACCACAGGAAGCAAGATTGTGGTGTGGAGCTCTTACTCGTTTCTCTAGAAGCACATTATTGAGTAAGTGCTTTCAGGAGCAATCTGTTAAGGGAGTGAAGGAAGCAAGACAGTGAGGTAAAAAGAACTAAGTTAGTACATGGTTTCAGTTGAGATTTGGGTTCAGTCTGATCCTTTGGGGTGCTCTGTTGCATAAATTGCAGTGTATTCTTCCAACCTGAGGCATGGTAGAGTGGCATGTGTTCCCAGATTCTAGTTAGTTATTGCCATTTACCAAGGGACCTGAGGGTGTTCTTCCATTTTTCAAGATCAATTCCTTGGAAAGGTTACACATGTGAGCCATTGGCCAAAGCAGGGGGATCTCCTAGAGGTTTGACACAGCAACTGCACCTGTAAAATGGATCCATGAAACCTGGGTGGGTCACTAAGAGCCCCTGGTAGAAGGGACTTGATTTAAAGGCCATAGGGAATGATTGGAAACCCCAAGTACTCCTTCCACACAATCTGAACAACCAGGTAACTATAAGACCTGGTCACTAAACACCCACTTCTCTTGATAATACTATCTAGGGAATATGAATTAGAGAAGTTCTTCAGACTCAGAGGCATGAGCTAAAAAACAGGGCAACTGAGTGAAAGTCTCCCTATGGGATTCTGAATCTCGCCATCCCCCATCCACCATCCTGTGTGTAGAATTTATCCATGTATATACACTTATGTAGGAGATTGGAAGATCCTGAGGGAATTGAATGACCCATGAAAAATGACTCCAGATACAGACAAAAAACATTACTATTCACCCACCCCACATGACCATCTACCTAACAGTGAAGCATATTCATTACGGAGCCTCACCCACGTGCATGGAAATTCCAAGAAATGTGTTAATGTTTTGCTCTTAAATAGCCAAGCATAAGCAGGCATTTAAGAAAAGTCTTTGCCATGAAGGATACAACACCAACAAACAAACAGAAATATGGCAGGGAACATGAGAAAAATGTTTAAAATTGTAATCTGCAGAGACATAAAATACTTTATCCATAAGAAAGAGAAATATAATATGATAAAAAGATGAAAAAGGAGATAAGAAAGAACTCTGGAAAGTTAACTTGTTTCCTAAAATAACAAGTTAAATTACACAAGTTTGAAAATAAAGTTAGGAAAATCTTCCAAATTATATAACTAAATGAAAACACAATATAAAATAGAAAAAAAAAAAATAAAGCTGTAAGGGATTTAGATCTTTAATCTAAGGGTTACAATATTTAAATAATAGATATTTTATAGAGAAGATAAAACTGGAAAGAAAAATGTTCTAAAAAAAAGTTTGGAAAAATTTCCAGAATTGAATAACACAAATCTGCCCATTGAATACACACAATAATGAAATAAAAGTCTTGTGGTGAAAATATCATCATGGAATTTCAGAGATAAAGAGATTTTACAAGTTTCTGGCAGATTACATGGGGGTGGATATGAATGGGAAACAGATCACACACAGCAAACAATTAGAAAGACATTTTTCAATAGAAATAATGTGAAGTCAACAGGACAATGACTTCAGATTATGAGGTTTTCAACTTAAAATTCTATACAGAGACAAAATACTAATCAGTTGTCAGGGTAAAATAAAGTTATTTTTCAGACGTGCAGTGTCTCAAAAAATTGACCTCCAATGTGTCATAGGAGGACTCTAGCAGAGGAAAGGGGTCAAGCCAGAGAGAGAGGAATGTGAGCAAGGAAATAGGGGATTTAACTCAGAAAGGTGGAGGAGCGACAGAGTAGTCAGAAAGAGGAACCAAGTCAGATGGCAGCACTGAGAAGGAGGTCTCCTAGAAATTAAATCTGCAGGAAAAAAATTGAAATAGATAACCTGACATGTTTGAGTATTTGATGTTTTAAAAAAGCTTTCCTCACGCACATGAAGTATTTTCATGGAGCAACTGGGAAAAAATAAAGGCAGGCATTTAGAGACCTCTAGCAGTAAAAAAAATTAATTAACACTGGGATGAAATAATTTTCAAGGAAAAAAATGCAATTCTAGCACATTATTTGGCTTTACTACAAATTACACTGTTATAAATATTTAAACAGTGAATGTTGGTTAAAATGGGTAAAGAGATAAATGGTTTGGTTATATAAGTGAGTTACATAGTCATGTGGGATAAACAAAAGCTCAATTAAAATATCTAAAATTGATAAATTAAGAAAGTGTGTCATGCAGAAATACAGAGGTAAATACATGAGAAACAAAAATATTGAAATTGAATGCTTTGAAGAAGCTTAACTGGACCATGGGTGAAGTAGAGCAGAGAATCTGTGATTTTTGTTGTATACAATTTCACACTATTTGCATTATTTAGATAAATGAAAAAGCTAAATTGTGAGCCAATAAAAAGAATTACCCTCGTCTCAGATAAAACATATAAAAATATATATTGTTCTTAATATCAACAACAAAGAAATGATTCTCCTATATTTTGGGGTGTGGGGATCTATATGTAACTCAAGATAATTTTAACTCTGATGAAGAATGATAAAGAATAATCATAAAATGTAACAATATGATACACTGAAATCATAATTAATCTTTGAGGTATTATACTGTAAAACTTAGATTGACATTCATGACAGAACAATATTTGAAATCAATGGAAACACCACTTGATATTTTTAGTAATGACTGAATTCATTCTGATAATGAAGATAAATTAATTTATAAAATTTAATATATTTTAAAAATTTTGTTTCAGGCTTAATGTGAAATTGTCCAATTGTCCTCTAATAATGACTGTGCATTTAGTACCTTCCATCCTTATTTTAAAGATGTTTATGTCACCCGAGCAAATGAGCAATTTAGACAGAAATAACTTGCTCATAAGGTTATAGCTCTTGGAGAATTAGTATAATGTTATTAAGTATCTATAACCACATGGTGGTACTCTGTTGTAGATTCAATAAATATCAATCTTTATGCATGGAAGTTTTCTCAGTAAAATGCAGAACTTTTATGCAAGTACAACCATGAGTGTTACATGGGATGATCAATCAATATGCATTAAGGAGCCACTATGATACCAACATGATTCTGTGTGCTGAAGAGCATTAGCTAATACATGAAACATTTTCTGTAGGCTTATTTCTCATGTGTTCTTTGAAATATGTAAAATGATACTGTATAGAGTTATTTGGTAAATGCTACATTTGGTTTGGCTCCCAACTAGAAAGCATGACATAAATGTATTCTGTGTCTAGGGATTTACTGATGGAGATCTGTTAAAAATTCAGTTTGGAGGTGCAAACGTCTCTGGATTTCAGATAGTGGACTATGATGATTCTTTGGTATCTAAATTTATAGAAAGATGGTCAACACTGGAAGAAAAAGAGTACCCTGGAGCACACACGACTACAATTAAGGTTAGCTTTTGTTTCTGCTTTTTTCTTTCCTGCATGAAGGAAGACAGGGGCCTTGGAGAACAGAGAAAAGAGGGGAAAATAACAAAGGAAGTAGAAAGCACAGTTTCAAATATGACAAATATATTGACTGCTAAATACACTTTTCACATTTTAATTGTTTAAGTAAGAAACTAATAGAGCTTTACTGTATTACCCTTCAGTTTTCTACCTTCTTACACCTACATTCATTCATTTATGCATTTGGCTTTTTTTATTAAGTGGATTCTGAACCAGGTACTTTGGTGGTCAACAAAAAATTAGGATCCTGTCTCTGATCACTCTTTAGTGGAGGAAAGAAAATACATCCTGACAAAAGAATGCCATGAAGGAAGGAAACAGCAAACAGACAGACACGATAGACAAGACTGTTTCAAATTACTGTGCTGGAAAGGCCTGAGAAGGCAATTTTTAAGCTAAGACCTGAAGAATAAAGGGTAGTTAGGCTGTCACTTAGAAAATTATGTTTGAAAATAAACTGAAGAACAATAGATATCAGTTTGTTTCTAATCTTCAAAAAACTCACTTGTAGGGCCAGCCCGGTGGCGCACTGGAGAGTGTGCCACGTGGGAGCGTGGCGGTGCTCCCGCCGAGGGTTCGGATCCCATGTGGAGACTGGTTCCCGCTAACTGGCTGAGCGCGGTGCGGGCGCAACACCAAGGGTTGCGATCCTGTTACCGGTCAGTAAAAAAGACAAAAAGGAAAAAAAAAAAAACTCACTTGTAGAC